GGAAATTAGTTCATTGCAATTCTTCTTGGATAAATATTGGTTGTAGGAACTGTGGTCGTACTTAGAGCTTGGGAGTTACATAGATGTTCTCACCATAATATCAGTTGTTTGCAGAGGTATGGGGAATCTTATGCTACCTGTGTCATCCCTGTAGATGAAACATCCATTTCTAAAGCTCTTAGTTTGGCACATGATGCCAGCACTAATTTCACTTAACAAAAAAAAAAGGTGATTTAAAGGTTGGTGGTTTTTTTTCCTCCCCACAATGGTAGTAAACTTGTGTCTGTAAGAGATGTTCTTGGACACATAGGCAACAATAATGCACTGGTTGATACGTTGTAGAAGTTTGTAACATCTCTTGATAATCATTGCTACTTCCCTGTAAGGACAGGTGCATGCAAATAAATCCATTCAGGAGTTGAGCAGTATAATATTGTAGCAAATACTAAATCTTCACTTCTGGTTTTTATTGTGCTCGCAATTTTGTCTTAATGTCGAAAATATCAGTTCTTAACTATATTAAAAGTTAGTGTTACACAGTTCCCTTATTTAAAAAAAAAAAAAGTTGTGTTCAACCAGATTACTATCTGACACTGATAAATAGCAGTCATGACTTATTACCAATTAACAATAAATCTAATCTCTCTAATGATGCATGTATAGACTCTGAGAGCATATTCATGTCAGGTGAGGGCAAATTACCCATGTCTCTGGGAGTTTTAATTCTGCAATTCAGAGAGTTTCATCTCAAGATCTAGGTACTTTTGTTATAGCAGCTTCTGTATCACAGTTTCAAAGAGATTAATATGTAGGCTGTTCTCTTTCAAGTTGCCTTGCATCCATTTCATAAGGTCTGGATCTTGCTCTGAAAGCAGAACACAAATGTGAACAGTTTCTTTGGGCTGTCTTATCTCCTGCTCCAGTTTCAGTGTTGACCCAGATTAATGTAAAGTTCCAGTCAGTAAATTGGACACTTACAGCCTGTTTCCTTTTGATACTTTCACAGCGCAGTGTATGAACATGCAAACCTGTAAACCTTCTTGATTTTTACTGATTCTATGTGGGTCCTAAGCTAGATACTAAGCATTCTGATCATCTCATTTCAAATTTTTCCTGATTTAAAAAAGTATTCTTCTCAGTAAAATCATATTCTTGGCGGGAGGATTGTAGTCCTACATGTCCTGTTGCTTCTTATGTGTATAGTGCAGTATAGAGTAGGCAGTCCTCTGTATAGACCATATTATCAAATGATGGCACTTTTACTGTTGTCTTTCCTGGTGGCTGAGTGATTTTACAGTTTCATGCTACAGCAGTACAATTTCTTTTGGAAATATGTATGTGCTTACTGAATGGTTTATTTCTCTAGTATAAGTTTTCATGAATGAATATAGAGCACAACAGTTCTTCTGTCCTTAAAGATATGCAGCCTGAGAAACAGGTGTACTAAAGAATTATTCCCCTCTGATCTTTTGCAGCTCATCATTTAAAATGGTGAGGTGGTTGTTTACAAAAAGTGACGAGGTCCCAAGGTTACTTTGAACACAGATGGGTAACTTTTTGTCAAATTTACCTTTTTAAAAATTATAAAATAATTTAATATATTTTAATATTTAAAAACATGAAAAGTTGGAATTTCATACTTTAATAAAAGTTATTTCAAAACCTGAATCACTTTGTGATAAGATACAATATTTCAGGGAATTCACCATTCAATGGCACTTCCTTCTAAAACTCATGTTCGCAGAATACAGTTTAAGTCCTGTCAAGAAAAGATAATTTCATGAGTACTAACTTACCTTTGATTTGGAGGTCTCATTAGTTTGTTTATATATATATTTGTGGTAATAAGTCATTGGTTATCTTTTGTTATTACTGTGCGCAGCTGAAATAGTGGTTTGGGCCAGTGGCCTCTCTGTGTGGATGTGACATTTTGTAAATTGGTTTCTGCAATAGGGTAAGTGTTCAGAAGTGGCAAAGATTTTGGAGAAAGTGTCATTTAAAAACTGATGCGAGTACACTGTAGATTGCTTGAATGTTCTTGACGTTCTGTGTAGTATGGCAAAGCCATGTTCTGTTGGAAAGTAATGGAGAGGGATGTATAAGGATTTAGTGCTGAAGCAGATTGAAGTCTTTGAGGTTCTGGGATGTTAAAATGGAGAATTTTTGGTTCCAAAAATCTTAGAACTAGTTAGAATAATATGTAACCTTGTTCATAACAATACAGTTTAGCATTTTTTTTCCTTTATTTTCAGTGAACAAGTGAAGAATAGTATTTCTTGCTGTGAGGAACTTTGTACTGAGAAACAGTAGTTATATTCTGAATTGCACACAATTGGTATATAGTCTGTTAGCATGTTTCAGCAATTTTGTTGCATAATACGCTTAAATGCTTTAATGACAGCTTAAAACCTTTCAACAGCTAATTTGTGTCAGACTTCAAGATCAGATTACATGCTGGTGGTAATAGAATCTTTTATGAAATGACCTCGAAGTGTGTCATAGGGAGGAGAGGGTGGCATTGGTGCCTAGTCATGTCAGCTTCACTGATGTCATCTACTGAAATGTCTGTAGTTAACTGAAAATAATGGAACTACATTGTGAATGGGCACTTTCTAAACTAAATCTGTCACAAAGAAATAAGTTTCTTGGTGAAAAGTGTATTTCTTTCAGTGTCAAATTTTTGTCTGTGTATCTTACAGATTTATACAGTATTTATTACATAGAAAGATGGCTTAAATGCATCTTGTATCAAAAGCTGTTGTCTTTGGAGATGACTTTAATTCTCAAGTCATTCCAGTCTCCCTCAGAAAAGTCTTGTACAAGGAACAGAGGGGAGAGGGATAATAGCTTGCGTGCTTTTTGTAACCGCAGAAGTCTTATAAAGCTTTCAGTAAAAATTCTTATTCAATCCTTGTGGATGCAGGTCATTCTCCAGAGGATTTGTTTCACCGACTGGTTGTCGGAGATGCTTGAAATAAGTGCTTTAATTATACTTTTTAAGGATATCTGGTTTTAGTCAGAGTAGCACTTTGAAATACAAGGAATATTTAAATATTCATATACTGAAAGACAGATTTGGCAGCTTTCCTAGCTTCAAAATTTTAAGTTGAACTACATGGTTTCCTTTATCACATCTTGTTCCGTATATTGAGCTAACAGGAAAAAAGGGCATTTGTGAAGAGGGTGCAGTTGTGTTACAGTTTTTCATCATTCCCTTCAAGCAGGACTAAGATCAGTGAAATTAAAGCCATTCTTTGCTCAACTAGATGTTTTTTCAGTTTTGCAATTTGGACTGCCCAGATTAATCTGATTTAAACATAGGTTGGTTGGTTGTTTTTTTTTCCCCAGTATTGCAAATGATCTGAGGAGAAGCTACTGGAGTGTTTTCAAAAAGTCAAGTCCTTATGTTACCATGCTCCTTACTCTAGGTAGCTCCAGTTAGTATTTATGACATGGAATTCCAGGTTAATAATCACAAAAAAATATTCATGGAAGACAGATGCTTACGTTCCCAGTGGCTCTGCAGTTCTGCAGTGTTTCTTATTCGGTGATCTGAACAAAGCCTTTTTATTAACAGGAAAAGCCCAAGTAGTAGGGTGCTCTACCAGTTGAATGGCAGATACAAGGGTTAAGACACTGCCTGTTAGTATCACTAAAGTGATGGGTGATATGGGAAATGTGCAGTGTTTAACAAAACAAAGCTGCACTAGTCATGCAAAAACATAGGTTGTGACTCGTAGGTGATATAACTGGCTTAAATTGACTATTAATGTTCTTCACAGATGTCACTATTTTCCTTTGCCCCTTTAATATAAAACTATGTAAGTACAAGACTCTTCACCTACCTCTTAAGAATGTTATGATCCTTCTTTTTTTTTTAAATGAGCTTCCCTTTTCTGTTTGTGTTTCACAGTGTCATGGAGTAAGGTGATAAACACATTTCTAAATGTGCTAGCTGTTACTACTTATGGGAAACTTTTTAATTAGGAAAAAAATAAATGCTATATGCAATAAACACCTTTGGAAAAGGTCTGAATGTTTTATTTTACTGCATAGGAATATATTGATAATGCGAGTGTCTTTTATGATCGTATGCACCACCCACTCCCTCCTAAAAATGTGAAATTTAAACCTGGTTCCTAAAGCACTATAGGTGCCAGTTCGCTAGTCTCAGTGAAATTCAACAATTATTTTGACGATAGTTTTGGAGTTGAGTATTTAGAAGGTTTTTGGCAGTCGGTACAGGTTGGGAATACAACGCTAGAGGAAAATGGGTTCAGCTGGTAGCTTAAGGAGGGCAAGGCTTTCAGTCGCTTGAACAGGTAAAATAAACCTAAGCCCGCAACTACACCCCTTTTAACTCTTCGTTATTACATAACTTTAAAAAGTCGACCCTAGCCCGCTGCGGCACGACCTCGCTCTTGAATGCCTGTGGCGGGGGCCGCGCCAGGGAAAGCCGCGCAGCTCGGCCTGC